GTTTCTCAGGCTAAAGAGGAGGCTGTGTGTTCTGGTAGAGATTTACGGTTTGGGAAAGCCTATGTAGAGTTCCAAAACTATGAGTTGGAATTGACTCGATGGCAGCGGGTTTAGGTTGTCAGTTTGGAATGTTACCTCTAGTGATAGATTGTCTTTATATTGTAGGCAACAACATAGAACTTTTTTCATGTGATTAAAAAAGTGTAGATATGAGAGATATCAGAAAATATGTATGTTATATAATTATATTACAAAATATGTTATATAACAATATAATGACATAACACATACTAAGATATGATTTTATATTAATATACAATCAGTCACACTATATAAAATATATAATATACTACCTATTATAATGTGTAATATATAACACATATGTGTGTGTGTGTGTGTGTGTGTGTAGATAAAATTTGTTAAACCATGTCTGAAAATACAGAATCTGGTGCTCTGGAGGAGCATGGCTAAACACAGGATCCTCAACAGTGCTAATTGGTGCTTCGAACCCACCCAGAGGCTTCACCGGAGACAAGACCTGGTGATCTGTTCCCCTCAGACCACAGGCTAGGAAACCCCTGTGAGACGGTCCCCCTCAAGCAGGGCTTTAGGGGTCAGAACCTCCCCACCCTCCCACCACCTCTCTCTGGGCACGCTACAGCAGTGTAAGGGAGGATTAGTGTGAAGATGTGATAGTGTTCACGTGAAAAGCATTGAGATGTATGTCTTATAGATAGGGCACATGCTTCTGAAATTAAGTGATTTAACAGTTATTCAAATGACTCCAGGTTGCTCAGTCACATTAATCCATTGAAGTATGTAGTAGTTAAATAATCTTTTGTCAATTTGAGACTATTAAGAGTGAAGTGGTAGAGTTTAGCCTGTCAATCAGGTCACAGCTCGGTGACCTCATTTGGAGGCTATAAGGATATTGCTCACTGGAGGTGGGACACTCCCTCCCTCCCTGTGAGACATTCCTGTTGACAAGACACATAGAACTGTGCTGATAAGAGTCAGAGCCCTGGAGCTGAAGAAGCCATGTGGAGACCCACGCCAGCGTTAAGATGCTTCCACCACCACTGGATCCTCAAGACTTTTTCACCCACTGGGCTGTGGTTTTCTTGCATTTTGCATCATTGCATGCATTGTTTGCGTCTGAAGAGGAATTTATACACTGGTATCAGACATATGGGCTAATATTGGACTTATGGACTTGATCTGGACTGGGCTGGGATGTTTTCTTAATGTACAATTACTCTTTATATAAAGCTCTTTATATACACACGAGTATTTATGAATTTGTTTCACTAGTCTACCCAGACTATCACAAAGTAGTTTACAGAATGGGCCCCCACAGAGCTAGATAACCACCCTGCCTGAAAGGCCAGTCCTGCTTATAGGAAGAGCAGAAGTCGAGGGGCGGGTTGGGGCGGGGCCGGATGGCTTAGTGTCAAGAGGTGATTCAGCAGCTCTCCTTTCCTGCTGGCAGAAAAGCAAGTGTCTGAGTGCAATTAATCAGACAGAGTTCATACCCCTTGCTCTCGGAAATTTAGAGTGTTTCCCGTTCTGTGGATTTGTTTCATTTTTATTTAAATGCGTTCCGTCAGTTGTAATATCAAGTACCCAGAGCTAGTGAGGACTGGTTAAAGTAAGATGGAGAAGAGGAGGCAGGTGGGCTGAGCGGCTGTGCAGAGGAAGCTGCGGCAGCCCGTGTCCTTCAAGGTGACAGCCGTGGAAACCTGGGGCAGTTCTACTCTGTCCTGTAGGGCGCTGTGAGTCAGTTGGCTCCGTTGGCAGTGGGCGTGGTCTTTTAGCTGACGATTGAACATGGTTTGAAATCCCACTTGAGGCTAATAAATGCCGTTCACTTGACTTGTGTCTCAGGCATTCTAGATGAAGGCTTGCTAGTGAGTGGAGGTAAGTTTTTGCTTCTGCCTATTTGAAGAGAGGTGGCAGCCTCATTTACCCCCAAAATGTAGAACTTCCTGAAGCGTGCCTTCCTGACCTCGTGAACAGTGAGCTGGGCATCTGAAACGGCAGTGGCAGTGGCGTTCAAGGCCTGGAGACCCTTTAGATGGGCAAGAACTCTCCTCTAAATCTGACCAGGGAGTGGCTTGACCTCCAGGGTCACGTTGCTGTGTGAATTTCTGCAACATCCAATGTCTGCAGGCTGAGTATCAGGTCAGGGCCTAGGTCTTGGGAGGCTTTCTGAAATGATCGAGCCGCCTAGTAGACAGAATACCTGTGGTCATCTTGCTCTGTGCCTTCCACACCCCCACCCTCACTAGCCCCTGTCTGGCCTAGTGCCTATGCAT